GTGAGAAAATTGGGTGGGGTAATTGAACACACTTACTGTTTTCTAATATAACTAACTTGAGGTTGTTTGATGCGTTTATGGCGCATCAAATGTTTGGAAAGTGAGCTTCTTAGGAGTGACAGCGGTGACAAATCACACAAGAAAAGACTGTGGGCTAATCAGGAGCCCACGGGCTGAACTCAGGGAAGCAGGCTTCATCTTGAGCTGGAGTTTTTCTGCTTGGTCCTAGTGCGCGAAAAATGTCTGTGTACTGTAGCGTAACATTGTTTTAGGACAGTAAAAAGTGCAGGGGACCAAAACAGATGTTTGAAAAAGTGCAAGGGACATGTCCCACCTGTTCTTCCCCAAAATTACACCCATGACTGTATCTATCACCTTGCTTTATGTCTAAAGCAAATGGGAGCATAAAGGCAATTGATTTTTTTGTTTTTCTTTTAGTGATCTACAAGACAATAGTGACATGATGTGGATGGCATAGTTTCCAACAGCTTCTTTAAAGCTCGATTCAAGACATCAAGTTAGCTGCTTATGATAAGAACACATCCCTGGTAAAGATGAGCAAAAAACCCTCTCAAATATATAATTTCTTATTGCTGTAGCATAGTACTGACAGAAAATGGGGAAAAACAATAATTTCACTTTTAAATAAATTAATATACATTTGAGTGTTGAAAATGAAGAGTCGAAATCAAAGCCCTTTCTTACTTTGTGAATACTTTCCTTTTTTGATTGCACCAACTCTGTTCCTTTTACACAATATAATCTACAGGCCAAAAAAAATGCATCTAAACCTGCATAGCTGTAAGTTGACAAATGATGCCTGGATGCTTAACTGTTCATATTTTAATATTACACCTTTGCAGATAAACAATACTTCCAGTCAATCAAGAACCAGTATACATTTTACATGAGATTTCATTAACTTTAGTTGGGAATTGCCAATAATTTTCTGTCCCCTAATTTGGACATCATGTGTTAGTGGCTATATTTTACCCACATTTATAGTGATGTTAATGCCTACAATCTTGCAAGTACCACAACAGCTGTGACATTTCCTGCAATAAAAAAGCAAAAACACTTTAGTTCTCACAGCAGCTCAGTTTTTTAAGCACATAATTTTCAATGAGTTGATGCAATCAACTGGTTTTCCTTAGATAGAAAACTTTAAATCAGTTTGACTGTATGATCTGATTCAATAGTAAAGTGCCTTGAGATGACGTGTGTTGTGAATTGAATTGAAACTGAATTGAATTATGTTTTTCCTATTTTGAAGAGTGGAAGAAGGAAATGGGGCTTTGTGTAACGACACATTCATGCTGTAGTTGAATAATAATTATGGAAGAGAGACAATAAGTATAAAATAAAGAATTATGTAGTTCTATTTATCTTCAAAGAATTGTTTGGGTGTCAGTAATTGTGGCCCTAAGGAAGGCTCTATATGACCATTGTTGACCAAAAAAAGCAAACAACAGGAAATTGAACTCATTATAATCTTTAATTAGATTTCCAGATAATCACCTTCGTTTTTTTCTTGCTACTGATAGAAACATAAACAAATCTCTCTGGAACTCCTGAGTCACGATGCCCCTCACCTTATCCTCCCAAATTAACTTAACAGAATCCTGAATGAGTAAGAGATTTCCCACAGAACTGATAATAGATTTTCTTTTCTCTAAAGCACTTTTTTGACCAAAATAACCCATGGCTGCCGTGTTTCTGATGCGAAAAATTATACGCCAGTGAAAGCTCTGAAAAATAATCCCATTAAAAGCCAGCAGCTGTTAAGGGCAACTTCTTGGAGAATTTGGCAGCTCAGTGCTTTTGCTGGAATTAAAATGGCTCTGTGAGATGACAGGTTGTGTAACTGCTGAATTTTAAATCTGTAGTGAAAACATATTGCGTGACTCGGGCTGAGAGAGAGGAAAGGAGAGCACTTGGCTGTTCCAGAGAAACGGGCCAGCAGGGTAATGTCACACACACAGCAAACACATATGAAATAATAATAAAAGAAGATTTACAGAATTATGAACCAAAAAAAAAATCAATACATTTATAAATTCTGACAAATCCACACATATTGACAGAAAAGTATGTAAATCTGAAATGCAGACAGCATTGTCTTATTTAAAGCCAAGACTCCAGTCAGTGAGACTCTTCATGACCAGTTGACTTTCTTCAACCGCTTGTCTAGTCTGATTTGAATCTTTTCACATTTCCACTCATTACATTTTCTAGACCTGCTGGTTATTTTGCCTCTGCTCTGAATGGATAAGCTCTGTTCCATGACCTTTAAAAAATATTTACTTAAACCTTGTTTTAAACATTTTGACAGCAAAATGACATATTACATAAAATATATTAGAATTCATATTTTGCTTTGATAATGCCCAAAAACTAAAGGCAGCTGACAGTCATTTTAGGGATTTGATTTCATTTGTTTCCGTCCACCAAATATAACAGTTTCCAGTTTATAAGTTGAAATCTACTGGAGCTTAGAGACAGAAAAATAAGTAACACATATGTAGGAATTTAGGCCCAAATTCTGACAGATAAGCTTCCTAAACATTTTATTCAAACCTGCCATAGAAAGTCCTCTATATTATTTATTGAAAATGCTAATTTTCCCATTGTTGAAACTTTCCAACTGCAGTGCGGCTAAAACTGTTTGCTCCAACAATGATGTATTGAAAGTCTTATTATAAATTAATCTTTAATGCACTAGTATGATCTTAAATTTCAGATGATTGAAACAAAGAACCAGCAGTACATTAGTACTGGTGAAAAAAACATGACAAAGTAATAATTGCCCACCTTTAAAACATAAACATGGAAGTTTAGATTCTATTAGGAATTGTAATTGGAGCTGTCTGGTTTGGTAAAATAAGACTAAGATTTAATTTTCCAAGACTGGCATAAAATAAGGTACATATTTTTGTCTTCCAAAAGGTTCAAGTTATTCTTAGAAGGCCTAAAAGAGTTTGACTAGGAATTTGTTTTCCTCTGCAAAAAACCTCCAAAAAAAAGTTTCTAAAGGTTATGGGACTGTAATGAAAGATGATTTTATTTTAAGGATCTGGACCAGAAGTGCCAATAAATCAAAAAGCGCCATATGTGACTCGGTAACAATAAGAATTAAATTCCAACAATCTTCTCTGGAAAGAAAAAAAAAAAGAAGCTCCCACAGCGGAGCGGGTATATTGTAAAAACACAATAAAAAAATTCAAATTTCTAAATTTTTACAAAATATTTGGGTCTCAAAAGTGCAGCTACCCTTCTGTCAGATGTGACTGCTTTTAAATTGGCTTGACTCTGGTCTAATTAACCAATCAGTGAATATACCGTTATCATTGTCTCTCTATTACAGAGATATTCTCTGGCAGCCACACACAACTGATGCTGTCACAAATGAATATGAATGAATTTGATATCTAAAGCTATTGCTGAAATGACATCTGTGTTCTTTCTGTCAGAGATCTTTCCCTGAGCCTCAGCTGGTATCTGAACCACGTTTCCTCAAGCAGCTGGGCTCATGAAAAGCACACCAACTGAATAATATATAGGCAGCTATATCTGTGCCATTCTAACTTTGTCTCTAAATGTATTTTGTTCCCAGCCCTAACATGTATGTTTGCACCTGAGGGCAGAGCATACTTAGTCTGTCTGAAACAGCTTGAATTGATCCACTCCTCTAAGAAAGCATTTTTCTGGTCTTTAAAAAAAATAAAAAGTTTACACCCATCAGGCATACATCTGCTTACAGCTCCCTACTCTGGTCGTCACTATGAGCTAAGAGAAACCAAGAGTATATTTAGCAGAAAAGGGTAGCAGATTTTGTCATGACTGATCCCTTTGCACAAAAAAAGGGAAAAAAAAAATCATTGATCATTAGGGAAACTCCTCTTCATTTGTAGGAGCCCTTGGATGGCTGTTACATCCTTTGACATCATGAATCACACCAGACTGTCATCCTTTGTGGATAGACATGACCAAGGGATATTTATGGCAATGCTGGCGATTATTCTTTTTGCTTAAAGTAGACTAAAGATAATATGCACACTTTTTTTCTTTTTTAAATTTAAAACACACTCAAAACATTTTTTTCCCCACACAAAACATTCATAATCCCACATATATCCAAAAAAGATAATACATTCATTCAAAGCGATGGTGCTGAATATCTTAATGTTATAGAATAAAGAGATTCATTAAATGGATGGCAAAAACCTGAGTTATTTCAACGGATTTCCATATGAAAATGCACAACAATGCACAATGAAATAAAATGATGATCCAATACAGAGTATTATTTGCATGGCTAAGGCTATACTACTATATCCATGTGAACTATACACACTTTAACATCACCTGTGTATATGATGTCATATGTATGGGCGAGTCTGATGGTCAAAACACAGAACCACATTAGGACAGGATGAGTTACAGCAATTAATCTGAAGCACATCGGCCCCATAAAGCAGGTCATTGCAACAACAGGGCGACAAAAAACGTATATTTACATATTTTTAATCATTTGTTAATATTTTTGAAACTCTACAGTTAAAAAAAAAACAAGATTAGACAAGTTTGATATGGATAGTTCAGTTTTTAGGGGGGGGGGTTACCCCTCATTTTTTGTCATATATAGAAACCTTTTCACATTTCCTCTGGTGTTCTACAACCCGCTGTTCCAGGCTTTTTCAGCATGAAAGAAGATTATTTTTATTTATGAATTTTTTTTTTTTTTCAGCTGATGACCCAACCTTGACAGTTAGGGCATGTTTAGTCACTGGGTCATCAGTTTCAACAGTGTCCGCTTGGCACTGCTGGGCCACCTATGAACTCTTTGCTTGGGTGTCTTTGTCACAAAAGGTCCTCGTAGTCCAAGAGTTTAGAGTGTTGGCGAGTCTTCCAAAGGCGGTAGAGACGAAAATCAAAGTACATCTCAATCATCTCTTTGCCTTAAATGGAGAATGAGAAAAAGTTGATATAAAGTAAGTTATATTCATCAAACCAAAAAAAAATAATTACAAAAACAAAGCTTTAATCATTATTTATATTCCAGAGTAGATTGAATTGGCAAAATGGTGTTTGTGCAGATGCAGGGAGTTTTTCCTCTCCACTGTCTCTACAAGCATGCTTAGTGTGAGGGATTGCATTTGATTCAATGATGCAATCAACTGGTTTCCCTTAGACTGAAAACTTTGAATCAGTTGACTGTATGATCTGGTGAACTGTTAAGTGCCTTAACAGGACACTTTGTGAATTGGCGCTATATAAATAAACTGAATTGAATTTAAAAGCCTCTCCTGTTGACGACTGGTCACTAAAGTGACCAAAAATGGTTCTCTATAGAAAGTAGTTCTGAGAAAAATTGACTGTAATAGAGTGGCGAAGGACTGTACTTAGACAAATGTACTGACATATAATAAACCTTTTTCTAAACAGTCGCTAGCAGGGCTGTAGCGATACACGAATCTCACCATACGATATGATACGTGATATTTAGCGCACAATATGGTATATATCACGGTATTCAGACAATATGATTCGATTCGACATAATCCACTACACCCACATAATTCCCGACATATTTAAACGGGACACAGTGATTTAAGTGACATCTTGTGGGTGTTGTATTTACTTGGATTGAATTAATTGAACTAAAAACATCAGTTGCATGGTATATGTCTGGACAGAGAGCCTGCCGCTTGCAAATGCTGGACAAAATGAATCACAGATGTATAGAGAAAACTTGTTTCATTTATTGAAACTGTAGCTTACAAGCCTTTGAAGTAGATAAAGTGCAGTATTACAATTACTGTAACAAGTTAATTAAAAAGTGCAGCAACAGGTTTTTTTTTTTTTACCTCACACTGAACATGTGAGGTAGCCAGGTAGCTACCAGTTAAGTAGACGTACCATGGCTTCTCCAAAATGTCCAAGATTACATATGTTGTGAATTGGGGCTATATAAATAAACTAAATGTTCTTTAAGTGACTTGAATTATTGGATGTTTTCAATTTAAACATTTAATTTAGCAGATGGAAACATGTGGGAACAACCACCGTCAACGTCCAGTATGGTTTGTTTTGGGTCACTTCGCAGCTTCTTTGGGTCTTCCGTTAATGTGATGGCGTTTTAGGTGGGCTTGTAGGTCAGTGGTGTGTCCTGAATATTTTAAGCCATACCGGAAGGCTTTTGTCAAGGTTCTCGCTTCCCTTATTTCTTTTAAAACCAAAATGTTCCCACACACCAGCTTTTAAATTGAAGGTGGTGGATTTAAATTTTCTGCCATTTTCTTGCTCAGACTGTAAAGGTAGATGTTGCATATGTGTTAAGAAAGTATCCACAGTCACACTGGCAGCCAGCTGACTAAATTACTCTTCGAACAGGGTAAAAACAGAGGATGTGAAGGGCACCTATGTATTGATACTCGCAGCTTAAAAATCGATACTTTCTTGGAAAACAAAATATTGATTTATATTGCAAAGTAGATAAAATTGCCCAGCCCTTGTTGCTAGTATCTTGACAAAAAATCTTGGATCTGTGGAATTGATCCTTGAGTGCATGAAAACTATGACCTGTAGCCATTTCCAGAAGTTTATTTTGTTTTCTATCTCCTCCATGGAGTTAGTTTTAGTACTATAAAGAATTAAGAACCATTAAAAACTCCACGACAAAGCAACTTTGGCTGGTTCCTGGATCTCAAAACTGTTCATTTTAAAGAGAAAATTGTCGTCGTTCAAGGGGTATGTAAAGAACACACCTTTAGAAAATGAGCTTTAATTTTTTAATCTTGCATATCTTGTATATAAGTGTTTCTCTTACAGTAAAATAATATTACTTACGGAAATGACTTTTTTTCGGCAGTAAATATAGGAAAAAACTTGCATTAACTGTATTTATGTTGGGCCTGATTGAATTGACCACATTAACCAGTTTATTATCCAATTTTTAATAATTATATCTATAGAAGCTCAAGTGGATTTACCATGGGTTGGCAGTTCTTTTCTATAATTTGCTTTCTATTGCCCTGCATTGATAGTAACTGATTAGTATATATAGAATATAACAGGCAGGGTTGTTTTTTTTTTTACATCTAACGGAAAAGAATGGAGATTAAGGAGTTAATTGGATATTCATGAAGAAAATAAGGACATTGAAAAGTGGATATAATGCTGTAAATAAAAAGGGAAACATCTGTTTTGTAAATCCCTCTTTCTGAGCTGTCAGTGTTGGACAGATGGCATGTGTGAACATCATCCTGTAAGTATTGGCTGTAGCATGTGGATGTCAGTTCCTGTGTCTGACTCTGACACTGAGAGTGTTAGGGTGTGTTCCTGGTCCTACCCTGGGCAGATAGCTCCAGCGGTGACTCGAACTCCACAGAATATGGCCTCATCAGATTCTTCAGTTTCTGGAACAGCTGTTTGGCAGAGATAAGAAAGTAAAGCGGCAATTAATCCTTCTCTTGTAACGAGGGAGCTAGCCTGTTCAGCAGCACACACCAAACATAAACTCATAAATTCAGCTTGTTAAAGTCTAATAGACCCAACTGTCTGTGCAGGTCACAAGAAAGACATAAAACGGAAGGGTGTTAGCCTGCATTCCTGGTTTTTATTTTGACGCCTCTTTTACAGCCATCATATATTTGCAAACGTTTTACAGTATCTGAATATAAGGAAAATCTTAAATAGAAATTGTGGAAAACATCAAAGCCAGCATAATAAATGCTACAACTAAATATTCACTATGCTTCACTTAGCAATAAAAACTGGTTGCTGATTGAGTTGCTTTTCTTGATCTTACCATCCTCAAGTGTGGCAGCAAAATGTTGTAATATTTCTTAAAAACCCACACTTAGAAAATGAGAAACAGAAGATGGAATGCACAAAAAACAAAGAAAAATGAGGGATATTTGGCTATAGCTCATAAAACTTGAACTGAGGCTTTTCAGAAGTCCTGCTTAATGATGTCATCACCCGATGTGTATAAGTTGATGTTGGGGCATAAAATAATTATGTTGCAAAATGTACAATAAATGAACAAAACACTAAATATGGTTAGAACAGATTTGCTTTATATGCGTCATAATTCCAACCTCTTCTAGTTTATGGGGTCTTGTAACAGATTAATGTAAAGCAGGGGTTCCTAAGTCCAGTCCTCAAGAGCTACTCTCCTGTACCTTTCATCAAATGAATGGCTCGTTACCATGTCTCTGCTGAGCTAAATGCTGGGATTGAGCCTTTAGATTCAGGTGTGTTTGAGAAGAGATGCATTTAAAAGTTACAGGATGGTAGCTCTTGAGGACTGGACCTGAGCACCCCTGATGTAGAGGCCCTATGGCGGATTTACTTGTCTTACTAAATTAGATTTTAGTTTTAAGGTAATTCATTTCAAGGTTAGATTGTTAAGTATAACCTGCTTTTGAACTCTATAGGATCACACGTTTATATACTGTATATATACACACATAAGCACCTCTATTAATATTATTCTTTAGCTCTGTTGAATATATTTTTTCCCTCAGATGTTCAGATTTCCCTTTAGCCTCTTAGGTGGTATATATATGTATATATATATATATATATATATATATATATATATATATATATATATAT